ATCCGTAAAGGTCAGGAGAAGGTCCAACAGGAAAGGTACATGATCTTCCACATCTGATATTTGCGTAGGCGAGGTGATTAGTTGTGTCAGACCGTGTGTCAAAGCAAAGTCATAAACAGAACTACCCGCATGATCGGTTGAACGAGAACGCACAACGGCCCGCTTTTGTTGAGACAACTTAGCGATCACTGCGCCTAACTTATTTGGTCCATATTTCTGGGACACTATTTTTACAGCGATCGTTCTCCTGTTCTGTAACTACCATGGTTTAATCAAAGATGTTTTATTTTAACGCAGTATATAACAATCATGGAGTATAGAGGTAAGTAGGACAATCTCCCATAGGGGAATAGTTTAATCAATCCGTAAGCAGTAAATAACAGTTCAAAAACTCTCCGCAACAGCGCTCGAGTAGCTACAGGTAATGATAAAATTGAAAATAAAAATTTTGAAAGCAATAAAATAATTATTGTAAAAAGAAATATGGTGAAAGTCTGTGCAATAAAAAATACAAAAAGTTTTTAAAATATAGACTGTAGCTACAGTACTGCCACCCTGATTTAGCGCTTTCCTACGGTCACTTTTTTATACTGAGTCTGTACTCCTTACATCTTTACTAAACTCCATAATCTTTGGGTTTAATGCATTGAGGTTAAAGAACAGGAGAGGAGAACGATCGCTACGTGCTAAAGTATAGCCCGTCTGTCCTTGAAAATTTGTAGAATTTATAGCCGCGCTGCTGTCGGAATACCTACCTAGTATCTAAAGTAATTTTTTAATTATTGACACAAAGAAACATTATAAAATGGTGAAATATTATTAAAAAAATCAATAATAATTAATAATACATATTTGTTATAATTTATAATAATTAAAATTATAAAAACATAATTTATATAAATAAATAATAATAATAGTTTCGTTATTTTCTTTTCTTTCATCATTCAAAAATCATTTCAAACTAATATACAACAGCTCGCCTCTATTGAGATAATTTATCGATTGCAGCGCTTCACTTATTTTGTCCATATTCCTGGGACACGATTTTCTACAGTGATTGTTCTGCTGTTCTCTAACCTCTATGGTTTAATGAGCTAATGACAGATCCTTTTTGCAATCAAAATCCGCGTAGTATCCTCTTAGTAGTCTGTGTCATAATCAATCAATTAAAGTTGTTCAAAACGACTATAAATCAATAGCACGCTACTGACTATAAACTATAAATTTCAAGCGCGCTATTTAATACGCTATGTTATAGCGCGCTATTTATAAGAAAGTGTGTAGGAGGCCGGTAAGCGCGTTAAGTTTGGCAGCACGTTATATCTCGTAGCACGTTATATTACATGTCGTTCATTGGATAGACCGCGTGCTATATTAGAACGTTATTTCGTAATAAGTCGCATTTTAGACTAAAATAAAATAAAGCGGAAAAGAAAAACCAATGAACGCTTTTTCATACTTTTCAAGCTTACGACTTTCTATAATCCAAAAAATATTTGTATGTACTTTTTATTAAAATTGATGAAAACGTTATTTTAACCTTAATATAAATTATAAATCAAATAAAGGTGTATTTAAATTTTATTGATTGTATTTATAAAACTACTTACATAATATGTTATTATATACACTTTTGTATCTATATTTTATTTACATTTAAAAACATTAGTTAGGCTTCTTTTATAGCAGACAACTGTGTCCTTCGTTCACATACAAATATACAGTATACACTAACTAAACAACGTCTAACATTAAATTAGGTCGCGTGCGATGAATAGCGTGCTACTAGATCAAATTTGCGTCACACCTCCTCTCCTAACACAGCTGCTGCTAGAACTAGTTGCCGCTAGATATTAATACTTATTAGCGCCGAAGTGCCATGGCTCAGTTGCGGCATAGTGACTACTTACATAGCACGCGGTATGTGTTATGAAGAGGTAGCGCGCTATAATATGGCGCTATATTAACCACCATTACAATCAATAGAGTTTTGGCGGGAACTTGGCCGACGACGGACTGTCGCTCCAGTTTTGTCGCTTGGATAATGTTTTGAAGTGGATTTTAATTCGTAAAAGTGATGTGATTTTTTGAATTAAGTGTATGCGCGTGTAAACTCTAATAAGTAAACGACGAAACAAGTGCTTTGATGTTGATATAAACCTCAAGCTATTTTGATCGCTTGTTCGCCTTATGAACTTGAGTGGCTGTCGTCATCAACAGTCCGCTGAGTTGAACTGTCGTCGAAATCTCCCAAAAATTCGCAATGTGACGCATCGCATATTGTGAAGAAAAAATATATAAAATGATGATTCTGAAAGAAATGATCGGCTCAGAAGGGCTAGTACCCAGAGCCGTAAATCCTGTTAAATAAAAAAATCCATCAATGAGGGTGAGAAAAGCTTTGACTAGAGAAAAAAGAAAGGACATGACATACCTACGAAACGTAGACAGAGAAACCTATAGACTAATGATCAGCGTGGCCTCGAGTGAGACAGGACGATAACGAATTTTTAGGTTATACAATAATCTTTATGACTTTTAAACACATTTAGATAAATTTTTTATTTGTTCTAAGAATTGAACTGAACAAGATACACCAATCTTAAGCTCACAAAACACTTTTTTCTTACTTAAACCAACTCGTAAACTCCTTAAATCGCTACGCTGTTAAAGTTGTTCAGCAAACCCTACAGTTTGCTAAACAAAAAAACCGGCACGGAGAAAGGGACAAACAATCACACCGCTCTATCTCATTTCTACGCAAGATGTATGCATAAATCTATCTTTTTCGTGTGCGAATGCGAAAGAAGGCGTCAATTTGTCTATAGGTTTCTCTGTCTACGCTACGAAAAAAACATAATGTGGCGCTTATTTAGAAAAAGATTCTTTCGTGTGATTCGTCTCAAACACCCGTGTGTTCTTAGATAGGTTTTTTAAAATCAATATGAAGAATTTTTGGCGCCAAATTGGAAGTCCATAATTTTTTTTACCCCACCTATCGATATCAAAATAAATGAAATTAAAAGGAGATGATTAAATATATTATAAGTTATACCTATGTTTTCAGTTCATTAATTTTAAGCAGTCGTTTTTGCTTTGTTTTTATAATGTATGTCTATAATTAATGTTACCATTATTTCCCGGGAATTATTTTACAAGAAATACTAATTAAAGAATTTTTCTTTGTTTGTTGGACAATAAATTAGGCTCAGTCATCATACTCACACTAATCAAACTATAATAATTGCAAAAGTTTGAATGTTTGTTCCTCAATCACGCCAAAAGTTTCAAACCAGTTTGAATGTAATAATTTGACACACAAACAGTTCATTACCCGAATTAACATATAGAATACTTTTTATCCCGATTTAGAGGTCCCGAGGAATAGAATAAGAAATTCCGTAATAATCGAATTCCACGAGAGAAACATATGAAAATAATACACTCACCTCACTAAAGTCTTAATGACAACTGATATAGTTGTCATTGACTGTGACAAAATATGGCGCCCGGCCGCAGCGAAAAATTGTTGCCATATTCGGATAATATTTTAAAATGTATTGCAGGTATAATAAATAAAACAGCGTATGTCTACATAAATAATTATTTAAGTTTTTATTTTTCAATTTTTTCTTGTACTTATTTAGAGCTGTTTTTTGCATTGGTAGTAAATTAAATTTTTCGGCCTTCATTACATCGGTCCCTTTTAATAATTTATTGATTACAGTTCACCAATTAAAAATGCAGAGTTTACAGATATTTTCAAAAAAAGAAGAAACTGAACATCTGAACTTTCAAGAATCTTTGTGTAACTGGCAATCGAGAAACGAAAATGAATATTTGGAACTTATTTACTTTTTATTCTTTCACTAATGTTATTTTGATATCCATGTTGTTCCAAATATTCATTTGTTGTTTTTACTACATTTCCAAAACTTCTGTTTTTTTTAATTACATTTCCACTCTGAAACACAACACTTTCGAAACATTTTCCGAAATTTCACCCTGATATTGCATTATTTGTGGATTTAAAGATGATCGAAGTAAGCCTTTTATTAATACGAAATAAGCAATGACGGGTGAGTGACATTGACATCACAAAATGGCGCACTTGGAGTTTGCGGGGGTGAAGAAGGTTAAAGAGAGGCGTGGAACGTCAGATTCAATTCTTGCAATGTCATTCTATACGAACCATTTTTTTTTTGGTAGGACATTACCAGGCATGGTAGAATTACGGAGTGTAGAAGTAAGGAGTACAGACAGTGTATTAAAAATGTCCATAGATAACCATTAAATAAGGGTGGCGCCACTATAACTACGGGGTAAATTTTAAAGAACGCACTGAAAAATATTAGTAGGATAGACGACTTTTTCGAGGTTATATTTACAAAATAAAATTATTTTAGATTTTAGAGCTACTGAGCAGTTTAGCAGCACACTTAAACCATCGATAACTGATAAGTTCATTTCATCCCAGTAGCTACTCCAGCGCTGTTGTGGAGAGTTTTTGAACTGTTTTACTGCTTATAGATGGCCACTTTTTCAACTATTGTACTATGAAAGTTGGTACTCCTTACTTCTACACCATAGATAAATAAATATGTAGCAAGCTATTCTACACTCCATAGGTAGATAGAAGTAGACTATAATTTATATTTTATAGTTTATCACAGAGTACCATAGATTACTGTGTGTATACTAAGTCCACAGCTGAACACGTCTGAGCTCCTTTGCTTTTCATAAGTTTTTGGTTTATGTACTTTATTACTCATAGATACCCAGAGTCGTAGACAGAGAAACTTATGCCCAGAGTACTTTTTGTATACTTCATATATATTCAGTAATCTATGGTATACTGTGATGATGTGATTGTGAATTGTGAAGTAGATCAAGTAGATGAACAGGTGGTGAAGTACCCGTTACTATTATTTATTATGATTATAAGATTCAGTTCACTAGCTCAAAAAATTTCTGCTTTAGTAAACATTGCTAAAACCAAAATGAACCTAGATAAATGTTATTTTCGTTATATAAAATCTGAGGAAAAGGTAGATATTTCATTTTTATTGAAAATTAATGATACAGCGCGACAATTTAACTTTAGTCGACAACCCACAGAAAGTTTACAAACTCTTTTTAATCGAATTGAGGCTAATGTTCAAAAAGTCATTAGTAAGAAGAAAGGAAGAAGTGGAAAGGCAGCCGAAAATGATTCTAAAATAAAAGTTGCAATGTTTGATGATACAAATAATGAAGAAATTTCTGTAAAATATTCCTGTATAGATTTATTTAAACTAAATAGACCATTAAAATTGGAAATTTATAATCAAGTTTACGAAACAGTTTTTAATGCACCATGGATTTTGAACATAAATTTACCAAAATGTTTATTGGTTGGATTTCCAGTTTATCCTGAAAACTTTGAGACTTTATATACCATAAAAGACAAATCCATTTTTAAATGGTTTAAAGGGTCTCCTGTTAATGATAAAGGAAACGAATTAAGTAATATTCATGTCCAGTGGATTTTAGTAGGAAATAATTTTTCGTATGTTCCCACTGTAGAGGATGTTGGTTTGAAATTAAAACTTGAATGTATTCCAGGTAAATATTAAAACTTATATTTTTATAGTTATAATTTTCTTTAAATTAATTTTAGACTTATTTATTTATACTTCTTTTTTGAAGTTTTTTGTAGAAGCAATGTCACAAATACATATCAATATCCTTGTGTTATCCAAATACGGCCATGCAAATTTTGTATGATTTGCCAGGAATTATTATCAATAATAACAATAGTCACTAGTCACCAAAAAAAATCAACCCACCGGTTTTTTCAAGAGGAAGTCATTGAGTCTGAATGTGAGAGGATTTTTAATGACTCTCGAAAACAGCATGTAGACACGGCTCAGAAGAGAAATCGGTCTGTAGTTCTTCAAGAGAGCATTGTCGCCTTTCTTGAAGAACAACACCACCGCACTTCTGCTTCACGCCTCTGGATTATAGCCACCATTGAGGATGGAATCAAAGAGCTTACGAAGGACTTTAAGTACCAGTTCTCCACCCGCTTTCAGAAGCTCCGCTGTAGTTCCATACTCACCTGGGGCCGCATGGTTTTTAAAGAGTTGGAGAGCCATGCTAATCTTGCTCAGATTGGCGTCAGGGATATCATCTGAATGTATCCCTGACGTCAATCTGAGTAAAATCTGAAAAGTGACAGAACAAGTTGCAGGATTCGAGGCCTCCCCCATAGATTTAATTATAAGAGGATATTTGCCATAGCTGCCGTGCTTGGCAGGCAAAGTGGCAACCTCTTTCGACACTTGCAGGTTAATAATGATACAATTTAACATTGCAATATAATGTATTGGTACAAAGAAGTTTTTTTTTGCATTCACCAGTCCACGGCTAGACCTGAGCTTTTCGGTCTGTAACAAGGATTTGCTATTAGTATGAATGGCGGAGAGATTTTTAATTACAGTACCAGATGGTTCATACCTTTGATACTGTGAGTGTGTTAGTGATTTTAGTGTTTTACATCGGACTTATAGCAGATAGTTAAATTCATTATACATTCATTTATATAGTAAATTTCAGGAAATGATACTACACTTGGACCTGCTGTAGAAGCTATTTCAAAAAGTCTTGTAGAAGCGAGTCCCGGTCCTTGCCCTTTTGAAACAAGACATTTGTTTACTTCTACAAAATTAAAAGATTCAAGGTAAGATTTCATAATTAAAAAAAATATTACTTTATTTAAGCCTATTTGAGCTTTAATAAATTTGTGATGCAAAATGGTTATCAAAATTTTTGTTAGGTTAAGGTATAAAATTTTACTCCCATTTTACATTTGAATGCTTTAATTTTATTTTGTAAATAAAATATTCACATAAATTTAAAATATTCATGTCTTGTCCTCGTACATTTTGTGCTTCGTCATGATAAAGTAATTGTAAGTTTTAAGTATTTCAATTAAGAGATCTCAACTAAAACTTGACTCGCTAAATAACTGTTGACTACAAAAGGACACAAGCCACAATAAAACCTAAGAAAGTATTATGCGGAGGCGGAGTGAGCTCGCATCGAAGCATAGGAGTTTGTTACACCAAAGTAATTACCTAATTCTACGGAAGATAATCATACTATACCAGGCTTAGATGATTTATATCTTAGAAAGGGAAATATCAATACCCCCTAATGCTGAGCAGAAAGATGCTGAAATAATTGACATTTTAGAGTACTTGTACTTGTGCTTGTACTACATATGTCATTTGTTCCTTAAGTTGAGTCAAATACTTATGATACTGTATGTACTCTGGACTTACTGCTTAGTCAACTTTCTGAAAAAAAGAATGACACTACCTACTATAAAATATAAATTAAAGCTCTAAAATGTATTTAAAAACAGATATTTCTGAACAGGAAAGATGCAGAGTACAACTCGTCAGTACAAAGTTATATAATATAGAGACTTTTGAGTTTAGTAGACCTCTTTATATTTTTCGTTTTTAATTTAGTTTCTGGACCATTATATTTAAAAGCTTATATCTAAGAGCGTGTGGTCTACGTTTATCGACTTTAAAAGCAAGGAATTTAAAAAAATGCTATAATTATACTAATCCATTGATATAAAAGTATAATAAGTCTATGCATTACTCGCATTTTCTTTTTTCAATGTTTATGATCGGAAGTAAAAATCGGTACATAAGCAAAAAAATTTCAATATTTTCGACTTTTTATTGATCAGAAAAAATTTCAGGAAACGTTTTTAATAACAATCGGTCGGTCAATAAACAAGAGTTATCAAATGACTGCCATTTTTTTTAATATTGACGACGAATTTTTATTAAAAGACTACTATTGAGAACCCAAATCAGTGTTATTATAAGTATAAGGAAACTTTACATCTTTAGTAAAATTAGGACAGACAATTCTGAGGACTCCAATGGAGCACAGGAATTATCCCAAAAAAAGCTATATATTTACTGTTCTAGTATTCTGTGCAAACATTGTCCTTATCCAGTTCAGCTGGCCCATTCATGCTGCTGCCATAATATGTGAATCAATGGCGTATTAATTTTATTTTTTGATATTCATAAGAGATGATTCTGAGGACCGTAGCGGACAGATATACATCGCCGCTGTGGAAATGTCTTGTGCAGAGACTGATAACTGGGCCCTATCCACCCCCATGATGATCTGTCTCGGCACAGTGTATTTATTTTATTTTCCTAGATTTTAAGCAAACCATTGTTTTTTTTTACTAACCCTTGTTATTATAATTGTTGTTATTATTATTGTGTTACTAACCCACATATGGATTTTAATTATCTGAAATAAAAAATTTATTATATTATTATAGAGGCCAGTCTTCTATGTATTTCCTTAATTCATAAACAGCACCCATTTTGTGGAATTATTTAATGTAAGCTACCACAAGCAGAATAGCAAAATATATTTATTTTATGCAAAATAATAATTTTAATTTAGCCGAAATCTTTATATATAAAAATTATGTTTCACATTGTTTGTCCGTGATATACTCCTAAACTACTGAACTGATTTCAATATAGTTTTGCACACTGTGCAGTTTGGTCAAACTTGAGAGATAGGAGAGTTTTTATCTCAATAAGTGACTTTTGATGTATTTTAATATGAATTCAATGATTTTTTATATGATAAAGGGTTGTTGGATAGGGATGCACGTCTGCCTGGTCATAAATGTGTGTCATTATTTTGAATTAAAGATTTCAAATTAAGTTAGATATTGTCATATGTGCTTGGGATATATTTTTTTTAGTTTTTCAGTTTTCGATGCATTTCCTACAATATATTGGCTGATTTGTATTGTGACTCTGACTTTACAAGAACTGTCCTTCATCCATACTGCCCACCATATGCATTACAAATAGATTATAGAAAACAACTTATTTTAAAAGAACTTCAAGGTAAACAAAATGTTATTCTATTTATTCTTATTGGCCATTTTATGTTTTATCAATATTTTTGATATATTAATTTCCTCAGGATACAATGCTGATATAATTTGCCTTCAAGAAGTTGACAGCAAAGTATTTAACAACAGTTTACAACCATTTTTGGGATCAGAAGGTTTTTCAGGATTATTTTACAAGAAAGGAAAAACTGTTGCTGAGGGTTTAGCTTGTTTTTACAGACAAACAAGATTTGAGTATGTATAAAATATGGGTTTTATTCTTTAAATTGTTTTTTCAAATTCGGTCCACTCCTCACCTTATGTATATTTCTCACATTTACAGGCCTATCAAGATTTTTACAGCTAAGTAATCTCATTTCTGAAATACTGCACCAATAAGCATTGGTGTACTTCACATGTCTTCTAAATATTTTTTATTTATTTATCAGACATGCAGGTTTCCTCACGATGTTTTCCTTCACCGTAGAGCACATGGTAAATCAGCACTTAAATTGTAAGAAACAATTTATTTTGTGCTAGTGGGGTTCGAATCAGGGTTGCTCATGTACTGTGATATTCACAGCGAGTGCTTAGCCCCTGAGCTACCTCAGCGGTTTTAGCACAGGTATATAGTTTAGTAAAAATAGCAAAAACCTAAGTTCCGACCTTTTTAATCCTTGTCCCTTTTGCCACAGGCCAGCAATTCGGCTCAGCAATTATACAGCTGCTTTTCGATAATTGATGCGATTTCGATATACCGACAGTCAACTTGGCACCGCTGAAGGGACTGTAGCACCGTCCAAATTTCGACGGAATCAAAGGCTTTCTCATAGCCCACATACGCCGGGCAAAGTGGCAGATTGTACTCTTCGGACTTCTGTACAATTTGCCGAAGGGTATGTATGTGGTCTGTGGTGCTAAAGTCATTTTGGAAACCGGCTTGTTCGGGAGGCTGGAAGTCGTCGAGTCTTCGTGCGAGACGATTCGTAATGATTCTCAAAAATAGCACGTAGACGCGGCTCAGAAGGGATATCGGTCTGTGGTTCTTCAAGAGAACGTTGTCTCCTTTCTTGAAGAACAAGACCACCGCACTTACACTTGGGTGTGGCTCCAACGATGATGTGTACAGCTGCCCGTAGAACCTCTCAATCTTACTCAAAATCTCAGGTGTCCCGGAAACGATGCTGCCACAGTCAGTCTTCAGCTTTGACAGTTGGCTCTTACTGGCAGACAGATCTCTGGCAAAGACTTTGAAGCCCTGGTTGCGCTCGATCGCTTCTTCAATACGAGCAGTATTAAAGTTGCGTAAGTCCCGCCGCATGCATTTGGAGATCTGTCTGTTCAGTTGCCTGTATGCTGTCAAATCTGCTGACGACTGCAGCTTCACCTCCCATCTTACAACCATGAGATTAAAGAGTGTAATCGGAGAGTTTTTGTGTTCTTCTGCGGCGGGTCTTGCAGAACTTAGCTCCGACCGCATGAACAGTTTCCACGAGCTTGTCATTCATATCGTCCACTGCATTGCAATCTCCTAGGCACTGAAAACAGTTTTGTAACTTGAGCTGAAAGATATTTCGGGATTCCGAATTAGAGCACGAGGGGGACGGAGCGTTGACTTCATTAGATGAGACCTCTCCAACTTAACGCTTAGGTTCAGTGTGCCTCTAACCATTCGGTGATCGCTGCCAGTTTTCACTCTTGCAATCACTGAACAGTTGCCGTCTAGTCGTCATAATAAAGTCAATCTTATTTTTTGTCGAACCGGGGTTCGACCAGGACCACTTTCTGTGGGGCCGCTTCCGAAAGAGTTCATTATAAAGAGTCCCTCTTTCTCAATAAAGTCGGCCAGCTGCTCGCCAGTTGAGTTCCGTTGCCCTATCCCAAATTTCTCTACCTTCAGCTCACCGTCACCGTATAGTTCGTTTTGGAGGAGTCCATGGCTTTAGAAATATCCTCATACATTTCCTCCACAGGATGTGCTCACGTTGGTGCGTAAACCTGTATGACCTTTAGCGAATACCGTTTGGTGATTCTAAGTATAAGGTACGCAACCATCGTCGACACACTTCGAATCTTTACAACGTTGTTAACGAGAGACTTGTGGACGATAAATCCAACACCTCCTTGGGACAGCTGGTCACCCTCCCGGTGTTAGAACAAGTTGCCGGATTAGAGAATCACCGTGTCCTTCCCCTCTCTTCGGACCTCGGATAATCCTATAATATTCCCGCGCAACTTGTCTATCTCTTCTTCCAGCTCCAGGATCTTCTCGTCAGTCCTAAGGGTGCGTGCGTTATATGTTGCCAGGTCGAGTCGTCGTAGGTGGCAACCGAACCTCCACCGGAGCTAACAATCATATTAAACATATAAATGATATAAAAAGCGCATTGTCAGAAAGATAAATGATTGTTGAACTTATTTTTTTTTAAATCGATTAATTGCTATTTTACATTAAAATAAGTAGTTTTAGTGGCTTATGGAGTAGATTTATTTCGTTCGCATGGAGGGGTAAACACGATAACTTTTGAAAATATCAATTGTCCAACTCAATCTATTTTTAATCTATTCATCTATCATGTGGAAAGCCATGGCATGTAAATGGCTATTTTATTTTGTTTAGTTATTATTGCTTTTTCTCGGTTGAGAAAATTTTCGGTATTTGTGCAATTTTTTAATATTATTTTTTTCTAAATACACTTTGACTCACTGCGGACACATCACATCGTTTGTTTACAGCGGCTCGTGATGAAAAATATCGATCGCTGTAGAAATAAAAAATAAACCAAAAATAAATTTGATATATAGTTGTCCATGGTAAGATATTATTATTTTTATAATCACAGATTTTCATTACATATATTGTTTCGCTAAAAGTACGTAGGATTTATATATAAATATACTTGTCTTGGACGTTGTGGAGTGACCTGTAGGTGTATTTTGATGAATGCTAAATTAAAATACTGGTTATGACTAGATGAAAAGTTGATGAGAATTTTTTTTTATTAACGAATCAGGTAAAATGAGTAGTTTTCACTCTAATGCCTGAGTAGAACTAAAATTAAAGTAATACTGAAGTTGATTTCTAATCGTTTTAAGATAATTGTGTTAAAAGTTTTTTCAATTAACAATAATAAAAAAATTGTATGTCAATAATAATAACAGTAAAATAAATATTTTCTACTCTATGTTGATTGAGAATTCTTTTCTACATTTTTTACGATCATATGAGCATTATGATTTATGAATTATGAATCGTGGACTTTTGGATTTTCAAAATTTTTTTATTGATGTTTGACATATAATTATCGGAAAATTAAAAGTAATAGTAAAAAGGTTGTTTGTGAAAACTTGTGTGTATTTAAAATACTTAAAAAAAATACGAATAACATGAGTACTTAAGGCATGCACATTTGGATTTACGAAAAGTTTTTTAAATTTTTTCTTACTAATGTTAGGTCTACTTTTCATAGCAGGTGGTATTTTCCCATAACTCGCTGGGGTAAGTAATCTTGTAGTGGTTGCCCGGACTATAAGTTTGTTGTTGCTGTTATTCCACTCAAACTTAGGCCATGGCTTTATAGTACTTGATTGTGTAAGAGATCCTTTTGTATCAATAATCAAATCTGTTATCGGAAGAATAGAAATCATTTGGAACATCTCTAAGCCCATGATAGAGTATATCTTTTAAGTCCCACTTTCTTTCAAAAATAGGATAAAAAGTTAAAAGTTAATAAAGTAATATATTATTTATGAAGTAACATATTTATGGAAAGTATCCTCATTATTTAAATATATTTACGTTTATACTGTTTTATTTTCTATCAGATTGCTCGAAGAAAAAACTATATTGCTAGCTGAAGGTTTAAAAACTGAACCTTGTCTTCAATCAATATGGAATGCAATTAAAGAAAATAAGTTATTGTTGGAAAGAGTTCTAGATAGATCTACTGTGGCTAGTGCAACAGTATTAGAATCCAAAGATAATTCGGATGAGATACTTGTAGTTGGCAATACTCATTTGTACTTTCACCCTGATGCTGATCATATACGGTTACTTCAAGGGGGAATGGTAATATATTGGTTGAGAGAAATACGCAACAATTTATCAGAAAAGGTATAATTTTTGACTACTAAGAAATATACTAATTTAAATTTTAAGATAAAATATTTTATTTAAAATTTAGAAATGAAATAGTAAATTAATTACTTGTTTTTCATTAAAACCAATAAGAAGGCCAGTGCTGAACAAAGGCCTCCTCCACAGATTGCCTCTTAAAGCGATATTTGCGATAGTTGCCACCCAACAACAATGGGTTAACAACCGCAGTTTTTTGTCAAGACTCTGTGCTTATCTCTTATTTCATTTCCCTCTCACCTCTTACGAAGACAACGAGATGATATAGGGTAGTGGATAAACAATGCCTTGGAAAAAGCTAAAAATTAAAAATTGTTACATCAAGAATTGTAATTTATTTGTTAAAATTCTTTATATTAACCGTAATACTTACAATAAGGTTAATTTAAAATATTTTAATAAATAAAATAAAAAATATTGTTTCAACGCCAAGCCGAGAACAACTGATAGGCCTATTAATATAGTTTAACGAAAAAAAAATCTAAAATTTTGAGTAATTGGCATTTTGAATTTTTTTAATACCCACCTCGCCTCTATTTACTGGATTCTATGATTACAAAGTTCTATGTTATCTTAATCTATTTTTTGTTGTGCAATACTGAATAACGGGAGGTTTGGCATAGAGTTTTAGGACAATGTATAAATTATAAGTTATAACACATTGAAGAGTAAAAAATTACTACAAATGTTATTTTTTTCAGTATCCCAGAAGAAGGATCTCACTTATTCTATGTGGTGATTTTAACAGTGTTCCCTCTTGTGGCATATATCAATTATATACCACTGGAACAGCCCCTAGTTCTCTTCCAGATTGGAAATCAAGTACGTATTCAGCGTTCCTATGTAATTATTCTATGTATAAGTTAACAGACTACATATGGCTTAGTGGCGCACGCCTTCGCTCAATCAGTCTGCCACGGAGCTTCAATGAGTGTCCGGTATCCTCATGATGATTCATCGCCACTGAGCACGTGGTAAATTGGCACTTTTGCAAAAATGAATTTTTTTGGTTCCGGCACTCACGTTACGTGTACTCATTTCACTCTTAGTATATTCACCACATTTACCTGGTTTAGTATAATGGCATCATCATGCGCTTGCTTGAGTTCGGTAACTAGAGTAACTTCATCACACTTATCATCAGGTGGAATAGTGGTCAAACATTAGCTTTTAAAAACTAAAAAGTCTTTATTTTTTAATTCCCATTCTCTATCCATTGCATCCCATAAAGTCCACTGCAAAACATAGGCCTCCACTATAGATTACCTCATATGGCGGGGGGGGGGGGGGGGATTTTGTCACAGTTGGCACGTTTGACAAACGGATTTGCAATGGCAGTTTTTATGATTTGTAGTTATAAACAGGAAGATGCTGCTGCCCATCTTCTGTTTCAGCTTCCCTCTGTCGCTTCTTACGCCAGCCTTGGGACGATATGGGGTATTTTATTACACGCTCTCAGAAGTCAGAGGAGGCCTGTGCCCAGACACATTGTTTATAGTATAAAGATCCTATATATATTTTACTTCACCTCCAAGCGTGTGGTAAATAAACTGATTTGGCTTTGTCACTAGGATACTCACGTAGTTTATAATTTTATTTTCAACTCAAATTGAACCAAAACCTTTGTGCAGATGCTGATGAGGCTGTTTATGATTTGAGTCTCTCACAAGATATACCTCTCGCTAGCGCGTGTGGAACTCCACCGTTTACAAATTTTACAGCAGGATTTGCAGACTGCTTGGATTATATATTTTATGACAAAAGTCGTCTTGAAGTTGAACAGGTATTACATTATTTTTTCTTTGTTTCTTTTTTACCGATTATTCTTATTCTATATTTGTATGCAAAATAAAAATTTCATTATATTTATTGCTCAACAGGTAATCCCCTTCCCTACAATAGAAGAGCTGCAAGCCAACACGGCATTGCCAAGCGTAGTTTTTCCGTCTGACCATATAGCTATTATATCAGATTTACGATTTCGTTCGAAAAAAGTGAAGTATTTGAATGTGTAACTATTATTAAATACGTAATAAAAAGTGGTACATGTGAAAGTGTAATTAAATTTTAATATTTAACTTTCTAATTTATAATTATTGTTTAACCTTTAAAATATACGATTAAGATAAAAAATTTAAAGCATATGGCAAAATACACAAACGCTACTCAATTCGAAGATGTCGTTAAGTCTCGTGGTGTCACAGGCACTTAGAGTTATCACATCGTCTGAGTGTTTGGGCATTAAACTACTATTGGACAATCATATTTTTTATATACAGGATGTTAGTGTAAACACCGTTGTCCTTGAAACCAGTGATTTGGTTTCGCTTATAGAACGTAAATTCAATGAATTTAAAAAAAAACGCCATTTTCTTTCATAAAATTTAAAAAGTTTCTGTCCGACACCGTCCGTAAATTCATGGATACCCTATGCGCCCGAGTGACGTAATCACTGTAAAGATCACCGCCCGCACTAGCTACCTACATAACATTCAACATAAAAACACAATAGGTACACATAACCTGTGATGTAACTTTTCCTTCATACTTTCATCCTGGCTTAGGACATGCAAAAATTGAGGAATTAAGGAAAAATTGAGATTTTACTAAAAAAAATGTTAGTTTTCATTGAATTTACGTTCTATAAGTGAAACCAACCCACTGGTTTCAAGGACAACGGTGTTTACACTAATACCCTGTATACGTTATATGCCTACAAAACCACCGATAAAAATGTTTTGAACCTAGCCGTCCCAGCGAAACCACACACATACACATTTTAATATTTTACTTACATTTACATTTCACTACATTGCCAAGGCCGCCAATTGCGTCGGACGCGTTTATTGCGGTCCTTTTCTTTAAGCTTACGTAATCATGCTGTCATATTTGTTAACCAAAGGGTTAAATTCATTGATTTATATGTTACACTAGATAAGTAATTTCCGCGCCAAAGCGTTGTCACTTCACATAAGGCCACAGCCTTATACTCAGCGAACGTCGGTTCAGTGTTCAAGGTGACGCCGTCCGAGTTAAGCCGAACGATTCACAACAAAAAATGGGTAAATGCGTAGTGAAAGAATGCGTTTCAAGGTCACAAAAACATAATAAATCAAGCGGAATCACTTTCCATACGTAAGTTTTAATTTATATATTCATATTAACGTTTAAAACACTAAAAAATTAAATAAAATATCGAATATTGCAATTTAGGTTCAATGTTGCCACTTTTCCGCCTTTGTGATTTTTCCACATTAATGGGAGACTGTATAATTTATGGAATAAGTTAATTTTGTTTTAAAATAAACAAGTAAAATTGATTGCTTAAAAATAAAAACTATGTTTCAACCTTTATACAAAATAATTATTCTTATTTTAGTTTATTCATGAATGGTCTATTAATTATATTTTATTATTTTATATTATATTAATAAATTTGCAGTGTACCTAAAGATGCAGCACGCAATGCAATACAAGTTGATCATTCCCTTTTATTGATTAATGCCATTATTTATAAGTACTTAAAAATAAGATTGTACCACGAAAGTAAATTATACACTCAAACACACAAAAAAGAATCCAAAAGGCAATTATATAACAAACTGATGCTTCATAGCGGAGTTTGAGAGCATGGACTATTATGAATATTTAAGCGGATTAGTATTACAGATTAAAACCATTTATATTATCTTACAAATAGACTTCCGCAGAGTCACGCCTGAATCCATTAACTATCCTCAGTATTGTTGCAAAAAAAATATAAAAACTTTTTAAAGTTGTTAAGTAGTTTAGAAATTCTATAAACAAGAAAATCAACGAAATTTATTGATAACCAAAGTTTTTGTAGCTAATGTCATGAGACTAAATTTAAGAGACAAAAACTTGGTGATGATTTCACAACTTATGCATATTCAACACAGATCTCGCTTAAGAAACCTAAAATTGTTTTTTTTATTTGCTTTATTTTTTGTTTGATTTATTAGTACAATAAAAATAATATATAAAAACATATTTTATTTCATTACTTATGCTTACTTCTGTTCATCTAATAAGAAAATATACAAATTTAAAATAAAAACAATTTACTGCAACTTTAAAAAAAAACTCCTTTATATTGCTCATTTTGGGTAAAATTTCATAAAGTATGCAACACCAACCCGCCACTGCATGTTTGTGTGTCTATCTTTATCTAATCTTAGGGACGATATTGTTTTCCGCGACTTGTGTAAGTGAGACAGATATATGTTTACTTAAAAATTTTAATGATTTCAAAGCTACGTCGTCGCATTTGGATAGTGGTTACACTTTGTTCGACGCGCGGCAATGTGGTTTGCTCCTCTAGTCTTGTATAACTCAATGGTTAAATTTAATAAAACATAATAAAATTGGCTTATATACTTGTGAAATACGGAGGCCCAAATCCCCCCCCCCCCATCAACATGGTAGCGGAATTCAATGATAGACTACCCCAGGAGGGTACCAGCACCCCTGGAGAATCCCTCGCTGAGCATCCACGACCATGTTTTTCCACTTCTGAGCGTGGGTGCTCAGGCTGCCCCGCGTATTCTGGGGGGGGGGCAAAATTCCGCTCAAGACTAAAACTGCTCGGGGCAAACGGAGCAACAAGACCAAGGCGACCCCTGCCACGCTGTCCGTGAATTTCTGCAATATCAGGGGACTTCACTCCAACCTAAACGCCGTCCACTACCATCTCGAGACGGCGAGGCCGGCTCTGCTCTTTCTGACCGAGACGCAGGTGTCCTCTCCGGCTGATGTCTCGTATCTCTCCTACCCGGGGTACAAACTGGAACACTCCTTTGTGCCTCGGGCTGGAGTTTGCGTTTACGTCAGAGAGGACATCTGTTCTCGACGCCTCGGCAGACTTGAAGGTTCGGACCTGTCCATCCTTTGGCTACGCGTAGACAGCGACGACCATCCGCGCATCTACGGGTGCCTCTATAGGTCCCACAGCGGTAATGCCGAAACAGACCGACTCTTCGACCACGTCCAAATGGCTGCAGATTCGTTGCTACAGCAGATCCCCTCCGCAGAGATCGTGATCCTCGGCGACTTTAACGCCCATCACGCCGAATGGCTCGGTTCACGTTTAACCGATCATGCGGGGAGATCTGTTCATGATTTTGCCTTGTCATATGGTCTGACACAACTGGTTACTTCGCCTACGCGGATTCCAGATGTGGAGGATCATGCACCTTCCCTGTTGGACCTTCTGCTGACCTCTCACCCGGACGGATATCAGATTTCCGTCGACGCCCCTTTAGGCTCCTCGGACCATTGTCTTGTCCGGAGTGTGGTGCCACTCACGCTGAAATCGCGGTTGCATTCTGCAGGCTGCCGCCGTGTTTGGCACTATAGGTCAGCCGATTGGGATGGGATGCGGTCTTTCTTTGCATCCTACCCTTGGGGGCGGGTTTGCTTCTCGCCGGACGATCCCAACGTTGTTGCGGATTCTGTCGCTGATGTGGTACTTCAGGGTATGGAACTTTTTATTCCTTCCTCTGTGGTGCCCATTGGAGGCAAATCTCAGCCATGGTTTGGTCGCTCCTGTAAAATAGCATCATGCTATAAGCAGGAGTGCTACCAGGCCTGGGCTGACGCATCAGCGTCCAGGGATGTAAACACCAGCGCTCTAAAAAAGAAGTATAATTCCGCCTCTAGGTCCTTCAAAAGAGTCATTGCCAAGGCAAAGTCAGAGCACATAGGCAGAATTGGCGAGAAACTAGTTCGTCTTCCTTCTGGAACCCGTACATTCTGGTCTCTCGCCAAGGCTGTCCAGGGGAATTTCTGTCAGCCATCTCTTCCATCTCTGCACAGGGAGGACGACTCACTGGCCCACACCGCAAAGGAGAAAGCCGATCTTCTAGGCTCTTTCTTTGCGTCTAACTCGACTCTCGATGACGGGGGGAGTACGCCGCCGACCATCCCGCGGTGTGAGTGCTCCATGCCGGAAGTGCAGTTCACTCAGCGCTCGGTTCGCAAAGCACTCCTCTCCCTGGACATCCACAAGTCGAGTGGGCCTGACGGAATCCCCCCAATTGTGCTGAGGACGTGTGCTCCAGAGTTGGCACCGGTTTTAACGCGTTTTTTCCGGTACTCCTACTCCCTAGGCGTAGTCCCAAAATCATGGAAGACGGCTTTCGTCCACCCGATCCCTAAAAAAGGCGACCGCTCTGACCCGTCCAACTACCGGCCTATCGCCATCACCTCCTTGTTCTCCAAAACAATGGAGTCCATTGTAAACTGCCAGCTCATGAGGTACCTTGAGGATCACCAGCTGATTAGTGACCGCCAATACGGTTTTCGCCGTGGTAGGTCAGCTGGTGATCTTCTGGTCTACCTAACTCACAGATGGGCGGAGGCAGTAGAGTCCAAGGGGAAGGCATTGGCCGTTAGTTTGGACATTGCGAAGGCCTTCGATCGGGTTTGGCACAAAGCGCTTCTTTCGAAGCTCCCTTCCTATGGGCTTCCTGAGAAATTGTGCGATTGGATCACCAGTTTTCTTGCAGATCGGAGCATCAAGGTCGTTGTAGACGGTGCAAGCTCCGATTGCAAGCCTATTAATGCTGGTGTTCCACAGGGCTGCGTGCTATCGCCAACGCTGTTTCTTCTGCATATCAATGATATGTTGCAGACCCGTAACATTCATTGCTATGCAGATGACAGCACTGGTGATGCTCTTTACACCGGCCGAGCCAATATTTCTCGGGAAAACGTCTCCGAGTGCCGGGACAAACTTGTGTCTGAAGTCGAGTCTCTGCTGGACAGAGTCTCGGATTGGGGGCGACTAAATCTAGTCCAGTTTAACCCCCAGAAGACACAAGTTTGCGCGTTAACCGCTAAAAAGTACCCCTTTGTCGTATCCCCTCAGTTTCAAGGCACTCCCCTTGTTGCCTCAGCCAGTATCGGAATCCTCGGCGTCGACATATCGAGTGACGTGCAGTTTCGTGGTCACTTGGAAGGGAAGGCCAAATTGGCCTCTAAAAAGCTTGGCGTG